TGATATGGCCCTTGTAAGAACCCTGCACCTCAATAAACATTGAAGGAGCCAAACTCAGCCCACATAGGCATTTTATCAAACACATAGACCTCAACTGATACCCTGCACCCTCAATAAATATTAAAGGGGCCACACTCAACACTAGCCCACACAAGCATTTTATCAAACCCATAGACCTCATTTCATTAAAACCCCAAAAATCAAAGGAACTAAAACGGCGTTTCCATATATAGCAATTAAACATCGCCCTTCACCAATAAATCCAGCATTCAAATCTACTAAACACAGCAAACTTGCTTGCACGTAAATATCGTTAGTAACTAACCTCATTTTGGTACTTTTATCAATTAATAGAAATGACAATATCTAATACGATTATAAATTTATAATGATAATATAATAGTAAATAAACAAATACCTATAACATCATATGTGATATTTAATTAATTAAAAAGAATCAATCATCTTCATTATTTGTAAATTTATATTTATCACTTAATTACAAAATTTCCCTAACCCTTCTTCTGAACTCACACCGCTTCTTTGGTTCCCATTCTTCCCCTTCTCCCATTTGAGTTCTCTCTTTTATTCTCCATTTTCCATCATGCAAATCCCTGATCTATTATCGTCCTGTGAGATTCACATTTGCCCTAACCTTGCCCTCATGAGAGACGCCAAATCTTGATTCCTTCCAAGTCGCACGAATCCTTCCCATTCGTTAAGTTGACTTGATTTGAAATTGTTCAAACTACCAACATACTCTTTAAACTTTGAGATTTCAACCTATTTAGTCCCTAAACTTTTACAAATACCATAATAGCTCTTAAAGTTATTTTATGACACTTTTTAGTCCTTCTACATTTATGAGAGTCAAATTCACAATTTCAAATTTATGAAAACTTAAGTTTTAAATCCTCGGCCACTTGACTTGACACATCGATCATTACCTTGTTGATTTTTTTTTTTTGTTTATTATAACAATTAAGGTATCCTAAGATTAACTTATGCACACTTAAGAACAATCTCCCTCCATATTTTATGTAACTCTTTTATTTAACATTTTCACAAAAAAACTATAAATATCTAAGCAATGCTGTTACATAAATACAATGAAGCGTGGTGGATTCTTTAAACCTTGGACCATTATTTAAATTTCTTACCCTATGCGCTCGAAGTCAAGATCACATTAGAGGATGATAGAAGTGATTTATTTTTCTTTTTATGCTCAGATGATAGAAGTTATTGATTTGCAATAAAGAGAATAGTTATTGGTTCTAAAGAGAGGAGTACTATTGGTTATCCGAGCAGTGCTATCTGCACTCAGCTCGTAATTGACCAAGTACACACTGTTTAGAAATCAAAAAATTTAAAAAAAAAAATGAAATTCCTTCTCTGAAAGCAGGTTATATTCCTCATGATTCTATTCTATTTATGATTCCAAAACCAACCAACGGAGCGCAGTCCGTGCATTTCTTTACCCACTTGTGAAATTAACATAGCATGTGGTTCGATTCTTTCTGTCATTGTGACAATGACAACCCACATAACTATTTTGCACAACACGCATGTGGTGCTGCCTAACTTCATGCGTGATGAATCATGCTTGTTCAAGGTTTAATGCTACATGAACCTTGATGTGCAAACTAGTTGGTGAAGAAAAAAACCTAGTAACTCAGGAATTAGGTTTCACTAAATGTTGTTAGCCAGATGACCACATAATTGTCAAAATAGAGAGAGTTTAAGCATGTAGAATATTGGCACCAGCACCCCTAGATGGGTTAGTAATGTACAGGAAAAACCTTAGTTCATATCAAAGTTCAAATTCTTATGAGGGTAGTTGTAATATTTTTTTAATTCTCTCAAAATTCCTCTTGTTCCAAAAAAAAAATGTAGAATATTGATTGTAAATGTTAATTTCAAGGGGTTTTATAAAGTATATATCTGCAGATGAATAGACAATTGGCATTCCTTGTTAGGATATGCCTTTTTAGTTCAAACTAAGGAATATGCCTTTTTAATTAAAAAAAATATAATAAATACATCCTTAA